GTAATCAGGATGGGTGTGTCAGAGGCGGTGCGGTTGGCGCAGGATAGAGCAGGGTTTAGGGCTGTTGTGCATAGGGTTGCTATGAGTCGGAAACGACTCGACGGCACATAACAACAACAACAACAGGCTGTCTAAGCTTGTTCCTAGTTTGTTTATAATTAACTTTATGGTTTTGGGCTTTACTCCCAGGTCTCTGATGCACCTTGAGTTGATTTTTATGTATGATGTGAGATGTGGATCCTGTTTCAACTTTCTGCAGGTAGCAGTCCATTTTTGCCAGCACCATTTGTTGAAGAGGTTGTCATTTCCCCGTATGGTAGGCTTTATTTCCTTGTTGAATCTCAGTTGATTGTAGATAGATGGATGGGTCTGTTTCTGTGTTCTCAGTTTTGTTCCATTGCTCTATGTGCCTATCACTGTACCAGTGCCATTCTGTTTTGGTTACTATTGCTGTGTAGTAGATTTTGAGGTCAGGGAGTGGAAGCAGGCATCTTCTTAAAGTAAGCCATGACAACAAAAGAAAATTTATTTTCTGTTTGGGAAAAAAGCATAAAAATGCAGGCACATTTTATATTTGATGACATTATTTATGGCTTTCTCATGGAGTCATATTTCCATGTAAGGTAGAAATACAGAGCCACAGACTCTATTTGAAATGAATGTAATATTGTATCTCATATGCTAAAACTAAAAAGTACACTAGTTTCTATGGAGTTAGAACTTGACTCGTAGCTGACCTTCCAGTGAGTTCTTAGAGCTTATAAATCGCATGGGAGGAGATTGCCCATCCTTCTCCGTGGAGTTGCTGGTGAATTGGAATTGGCAGAAGGGTGCCACCTTTGAGGCTACCAGAGCTCTTGATACCTTTCAACTGTGGTGCTAGAGAAGAGTATTGACTGCATCATGGACTGCTAAGAGAGCAAGCAAGTTAGTGAGACCAGGCTGCTCCTTAAAGGCAAGGATTCTGAAGCTTCCTCTGACATACTTTTGACATGATGCAGAATCAGTCCTTGGAGAGGGGCATCATGCTTGGGAGAGTGGAGGAACAGCACAGGAGAGGAAGACCCTTGATGAGATGGATTGATTCAGTGACTGGGGTAATGAGGGTAGGTGTGTCAGAGACAGTAAGCTTGGACAGGATAGAGTAGGGTTTAGGGCTATTGTACATAGGGTTGCTGTGAGTTGCAGGTGACTTGATGGCACATAACAACAATTTTGAAGTTAAGTAACTATGGTTTTAGCTTCTTTTAGTATTATAGAACCCCAACCTTAGTTCTTATTCAGATGAGGAATAGCACTGACATATCAGGTTTCCTTCAACTAGTATCTTTTAAAAAAAATTAATTTTTATGAAAGTTTACAAAGACTTAGGGTTTCCAGTCATTCATTGTACTTTTCTTCCTGCCCATCCCCTGCCCCCAATTCACTTTTCTCCTTGATAAGTAAAAGAAAGACTCTTTCATTAAACTAGGTATCTTACAGACTGTTAATCAGCAAAGCAGAGTGAAATGTGAAGCCACCGATTGGAGGTAAAGGAGCACCTACTCTCAGTTCCTGCTGAGCCTCGCCTGCCCCCCTTACCTTTGTGTTTTCATGAGCATTTCACAATATTTCGCATCCCTTGTTCTAGTGTTGACCCGCTGACCTAAAAATCAAGAAAATGTCATGTTAGTGCCTACTAATTAGGGCACCTAGAGAGCCTTTTCATCTGGCCTTTCAACCTTCTGGAGGTAGGCACTCAAGCTGTCACTCGCATCAGGCAAGGAAAATGAACCTTTACTGCAGTTTACCCCTGTTTTGCAAACAGCAGAACAAGCCCAGCTGAGACTGGAGATGAATATGTGGGTTAGGAAGAAATTAACCTAAAATGTACTACTGTTTGCTTGATTGGCTTTGGATGACAGTGCTGCTGTCATTGAAATACTGTGATAATGAGATGCCCACGTGCCCCAGGTTTTAACTAAATGTGTCTGTCATGTCACATTTTTAAGTATCATCATTAGGTGAAGTACCAATTTTAGTTGAAGAATATTTTTCTATTACAAAAATAAGCATTTTACTGAGTTTAAGTTTCCATTTAGACACACTTGCTGAGAGTACTGGAGTTTGTTAGTGAGCATTTGGCTTGAGTGCTCATTAATCAGGCCTGTTGGGCCAGGGTCTCCTGAGCCTTCTGGTTTGGGGGGATCAGCTACTGTAATTAAAGGGATGAAATATATCATGGTCACAAACTTACTACATCAGACAATTGAGGGCTTAGAGCTGGTGGAATTAATCTTTTTAATTTTTTTTCCTTAGGTCTTCAAGATAGAAGTACTAATGAATGGAAGAAAACACTTTGTTGAAAAGAGGTATAGTGAATTCCATGCCTTGCACAAAAAGGTAACTCATTTCTCCTTTTTTTCTCTATGTGTCAACTGATACAACAAAACTGCTTTCTGTTGTCTTTTGACATTTCTTTGAAGAATGTTGTTTCTTTTTATCATGAAGTAAATTTTGTTTTTTGCGTTTGCCTCTTAAAGGTGTACTTTCTGGTGAGGTGGGTTTCACATTGAGCACTTTTACATTGGTAAATTGTGAGACTGCAGGCTGCTGGCAGTGTAGACCACGACCACCATGCTATTGTTTTATCTAGCAAAAAGTAGTGATCAGTTTACAAAAAGAAATTATCAAACTCAGCCTCTGTAATATACATGTGTTTAATGATTATTTGGGGAAAAATATGTCAAAGGAGATTCCTAGCCTCCTTTATGGAGTGTAAAGGACCACCTGACAAGACTTATTTTAGTTGCAGCATCATTTTAATTAATTATCTTCATTAAATAATAGTAATACAGAAGGAAAAGGTGAACTTTTTAGAAAAAATGGTCCATGAGTAGAAGAATACTTTCTTTTCCACCTTAATTTTTGACAGTTTATAAATTATTAGGGTATTGAAAATTATCTTAATGGATAGTTGTAAATTATTTTAGAAATTTACAATAAACATCATGTATGAGTCAATGCAGATTTACCATTTTTAAAAAATTTTACACCGCGTGATTCAAGTCTTTCACTATCTTTATGAGATAAGAAATTAGATAGCAATTATAATTATCTTAGATATTAAGTGCTGCTATAGCAGAGCAATGAAATGAGTGGCTTTGAACAACAAATGTATTTTCTCGAAGTTTAGGAGGCCAGAAGTTTGAATTCAGGATGCTAATTGTTGTTGTTGTTATGTTGCCATCGAGTTGCCTTATGACTTGTAGCAACCCCTATGTACAACAGCTCTGAAGCCTGCCCTGTCCTGAGCCAGTCTCACTGACTCCAACACAACTACCCCCATTGCCTCACTCACTCTATCAATCCATCTCATCTGAAGTCTTCCTCTACTGAGCTGTCCCTCTACCCTTCCAAGCATGATGTTCTTCTCCAAGAACAGGTCCCTCCTGGCCACAAAGTATGTGAGACGGAGCTTCCAAATCCTTGCCTCCAAGGAGAAACTTGATTTCACCTCTCTCCAAGACAGACTTGTTTGTTCCCTTGGCGGTCCATGGTACATGTTCAGTACTCTTCTCCAGCACCAAAACTCAAAGGCATCAATTCATCTTCTGCCCTCCTTAGTCATTGTCCAGCTCTCTGATGCATAGCAGTCTGCTCTTTTTGATAAAATGCTTGTCTGTCAGATATTGTTCGAAAGCTGAGCATCAAAATTAAAGCAGACTAGGAAGACGGATTTGCCATTCACTTCCAAAATAACAGGCCTTCGAAAACCCTATGTGCAATAGAGTACACTTGCAGTGCTAGTTATAGGGGAAGAATTTTTATCTCTGTCATATTTGGAGAGAGGTGCTTGTCAGTTCTGAGCTTCTGGTACTGATGATACTCATGTGACTTGGCATCTGTCTTTCTTCTCTACTTCTCTTGGCTTGTGTGAACTCTTGTGTGTCTCGAAAGGGATTGATTAAAACACACTCCATATTAGTACTCACACATTAGCATAACAAAGAAAAACCATTTTAAATGGGAGGATAATCACAGGCATAGAGATTGGAATTTACAACACATATTTTTGTGAGACATAATTCAATCCATAATAGGAAAGGAAAGACCAAATCTTTTCTTCTAATCTGTTAGAGTCTTAAAATTTTCTGGTAATGTTAATGCATTAATAATGTGATAGTGTGCTTGTGGCTGTTGTTACGTACTGTTGAGTCAGAACCTTCTCATAGCTGAGAGACCCTCAGTGGGTTTTCAGAGGCAGTAACTTACACAGGAGGAGACTGCCCATTTTTCTTCTGCAAAGCAGCTGGTGATTTGAACCTCATACCTTCAAGTTGTCAGTGCAGCTCCTTACCACTAGGCCAACATAGCCTAGTCAGTATTAAATGTTTTTTAACATTTTTTTTTTCCTCATTAGGGGTGTGAGAGTGTGTGTGTGTGTGTGTGTGTGAAGAATGGAAAAGTGAATGTATGTTTCCTTTTATAGAGTGTCAAAGGTTATTGTCCTGAGTTTATACTAGACTGGCAAGAGGATAATTTACATTTAACCTAGGCTTACTTCCAAAAGAAACAACACAGGTAAGTAAAGATCCTCTCCTCCCACCATTATGGGCTGCCACTAGCTATAGCCTGATAATAAAGCACAAACCAAGGTCTCAAAGACAATAGTACTGGGGTCTGAGTGTCACTTCTTTCTTGTGGAATCCATGGTTTGTTGTGGGAGGAAACAGAAATAGTGGAGAGGTTTCTTCTGGGTCTTTTATAAAATCAAGTCCTTGCTATCAGATCAGAACTCCACCCCTTGCCTGGCCTCTGGTGACCAGGGTCCAGACTTGGCAGCTTGTCATGTAAAAGTCTTTCTCCTCACCTCCCAGGTCAGCTTCCAACACCTCATGACCCCAGTGCAACCCAGCTGTTCTCTGCAGGCACTCAGGGACCACTTCCTCGAGAGGCACAGCTGGATGAGTGCCAATTAGGCCCACCCAACCATGAGGCCTGCATTGCTTCTTAAGAGTAGGGTCGGATGGGTATCCAACGCACTTTCTTCTACTGAAGACGACCAGCTTTTCAGTAAATTATGAACTGTTCCTAGATATTCAAGAATGGGAAAAATTTCCAGTTACTATAGAATTCACTGTTTTTGTACAATTCTGTTAATAATTTTTGTTATTGGATTGTGTTATCAAGTCTGCCAGAATTATGAGTCTTAAACCTTTTAAATTTTGGTTTGTATGGATTTTGTTTTTATTTAAAGCAATCTTGTAACACCAGAGACATCTTTAAAGAAACATAGGGCTGAAAATACAAATTTTTCTGTTAGAATATAGTATCAAAATGTAAATCTAGGAAAGTACAAGTGGTTATTAGAAGTCTCTTCTTGCATTGTTGTAACTGATTTGGGGACAAAAGGAAAAGAAATTAAAAGAACTGAAATGCAAATAATGGTTTAGTATTAAAATAAAACATCAATCTGTTGCCTAGACTGTAACATTATGTGTTAAGACAGACTAAAAGTGGTAAAAATTTAATTACAGTGAACAGCTTACTGATTGTATTTGTTACTTTTGATCACCTCATCCTGTTTTATAATTTTGATACCTTCAGTTTCCATATTTGAATTTTATGACTTGCTTTGAATGTTGTACTTTGATAAAAAATATTTCCCTTTAAATACAGTTAAGTGTAGTCTTGTTTAACTTTCTTGAAATTCTAAACTTCTTCTATGATATATCCAATTTTCTGTTTTTCTTCTATTTTGTGTTATATTTTTCAAATGATAAATGTGTTATTAAATGTCCCTTGTTGAGAAGTGCTTTGCATCTTTAGAGTAATAGGTGCATAACTCTCATCTGAGTGCCAAAGATAGACGGAAGTGGCTCTTGCTGGTTCTCATGCTAATTCTGTGGCAGAAACAATAACAATTCCCCAGTTTAATGGTTTGCCTGTTGTCTGTAGAAAGTCTTTGAGGATTATTATTTTTCTCTTTTCTAATTGGTTATAATAATATTTAAAACATTGTAATCATTGATAGTTTTCTTAGGATTCGTTCTAGTTTTTTGAAAAATTGAGAAAAGATTATCTCTCTGATGGCTCAGTGGTAAGAAATTGTGCTGCCAACGCAAAGATAGGCAATTCGAATCCTCCAGCTGCTCTGTGGGAACAAGATGGATAATCTTTTCTGTGATTTCCTGCCCGTGAAAACCTGCGCTGGAGGCTCAGCTATCGATTAGTTCAGACTTGAGGGTACACAACAAGTTATTAATAATTATTTATTATTAAACTTTACAGAAATTTTAGGGAAGATTATCCATTATTGCCCATACATATTTTTATACCATCAGAATTGATGTTTTATTTCTTTTCTTTAACTTTAAATATTACTATTACTTTATTATACATATTTATATATGTTGCCTTGTTTAATTGATATTTCATTCAATTTAGGAGTAATCTTTCTTGTTTCAGTTGTCTTCTGTGCTTTTCCATTTATCTGCTAGAATCTCAGCTGTTTTTACACATTATATTTTGATCATTTTTTATTTCTTGTCCCACCTTCTCCAGTGGAACATCTGGTGGATTCAAACTGCATACCTTTGGGATTGCAGCACAGCTTCTTGCTACTAGTCCATCAGAGCTCCCTTTTAGTTACTTTTTAAATCTTTTATTATACACAAGCTGAAAATATTTTTTTTTCACAGAGCTGAAAAAATCCTCACTCTTTTAATTGAGTGAAGATTTTTATTTCAAAATTGTTGTTGTTGTTGTTGTTATTGTTAAGTGCCATCGAGTCGCATGCTACTCATAGCGACCCTATGAAGGAGAGTCCTTGACGCTTGGGTGCCTTTCATCCTCTCTCCAAGTTCATAGTGTTTCTGGAGACAAGCTATTATGGAAGTGGATGCCACTCCTCCTTCCACGCTTGTTTAATCGGGGAGCTCCACCCCACTCTCAGTCCTCATTGGGTAGCCAACCATTAACGCATTTGACACATCCGTGTCACAGTGTTCAGCCTCACAGCAACCACAAGTGACCGCAGGACGGCAACTTCAAAATTATGCATACTTAATTTTTTTTAGTCTAATTGTATCAGAAGGAATTGGCTGACACAGAGGAATTTCATGAAGTAGCATATGAGCAAGAATCTATGGTGATGAAGAAGGAAGTTCAAGTTGCTATAAGGAATTGGCAAAAAACAAGGCTCCAGGAGTTGATTGCATACCAATTGATTTATTTCAACAAACAGATGCTGCCCTGGATGTGCTCACTAAGTTGTGCAAGGAAATCTGGACGACAGCCAGCTGGCCCACTGACTGGAAGAAAGGGGACCCAACAGTGTGGAATTATCAAACAATATCATTGATATCACATGCAAGCAAGATTCTGCTGAAAATTATCCA